GAAACCACAAGCAGAACATTCAAGAAATATGGGATAGCATAAAAAGACCAAATTTAAGAGTTATTGGGATAGAGGAAGGCATAGAGGTCCAAACCAAAGGAATGAACAACATATTCAATGAAATAATATCAAAAAACTTTCCAAATATGAAGAATGAATTGGAAATCCAAATTCAAGAAGCCTACAGGATGACAAATGTACAAAATCAAAACAGTTCCACACCAAGACACATTATAATGAAAATGCCCAACATATAGAATAAGGAGATAATTTTAAAAGTCACAAGAGAAAGGAATCAGTTTACGTATAAGGGAAAACCAATTAGGATAACAGCAGATTTTTCAACACAGACCCTGAAAGTTAGAAGATCCTGGAAAACATATATCAAGCTCTGAAAGATAATAGGTGCCAAGAATCTTGTATCCAGCAAAATTAAGCTTTAGATTTGAAAATGAAATAAAAACTTTTCATGACAAACAAAAGTTGAAAGAATTTATAGCTAAAAAACTGACACTACAAAACATCTTTGGAAAAATATTCCCTGAAGAGGAAATAAAAAACAACAATGAAAATTAGCCAAAGGAGGTAGTACACTAAAGGAAAAACTAATCAAAGAAGAAAATCAAGTCAAGTTAAATAACAAAAATAAACAAATATGTCTGGGAATACAAACCATGTCTCAATAGTAACCCTAAATGTTAATGTTTAAACTCACCAATCAAAATATATAGGCTAACATATTGGATTAAAAAAAAAAGATCCAACAATATGCTGCCTCCAGGAGACTCATCTGATAGGAAAAGACATACACAGACTGAAGGTGAAAGGTTGGGAAAAATCATACCACTCACATGGATTGTGGAAGAAAGCAGGGGTTTCCATCCTCGTATCAAATAAAGTAGACTTCAAGCCACAGTTAAATCAAAAGGGATAAAGAGAGAAATTGCATACTGCTCAAGAGAACCATACACCAACAAGACATAACAATCATAAATACATATGCCCCAAACAATGGTGCAGCTATGTTCATCAAATAAATTCTTCTTAAGTTCAAGAGTCAAATTGATCACAACACAATAATCTTGAGTGATTTTAAACACTTCTCTCACCACTGGATAGATCTTCCAAACAAAGGTTGAATAAAGAAACTACAGAACTCAATAATACAATCAATAACTTAGACTTAACTGACATATATAGAATATTTCAATCTGCATCAAACGAGTACACTTTCTTCTCAGCAGCACATGGATCCTTCTCTAAAATAGACCATATATTATGCCACAAAGGAACTCTTAACAAATATAAAAAAGTAGAGATACATCCATGCATTTTATCAGATCATACTGGAAAAAAATTGGAAATTAACAACAAAATAAATAATAAAAATTACTCCAACACCTAGGGACTAAACAATATGCCACAGAATGAAAATGGGTTGCACAAGACATCAAAGGGGAGATTAAAAAATTCTTAGAGGTAAATGAGAACATAGACACCACATATCAAAATCTCTGGGACACTATGGAAGCAGTTCTAAGATAAAAGTTCACTGCATGGAGTTTATTCCTTAAAAGAAGAAAAAGTCAACAAATAAATGACCTCACACTACATCTCAAAGCCCTAGAAAAAGAAGAACAAATCAGCAGCAAAAGCAGTAGAAGGCAAGAAATAATTAAAATTAAAGCTGAAATCAATGAAAACAAAAGAAACAATTTTTAAAAATTGACAAAACAAAAAGTTGGTTCTTTGAAAAAATAAATTAAATTGACAGACCCTCAGCTATGCTAACAAAGAGAAGGATAGAGAGAACTCAAATTATCAGCATATGTGCTGAAAAGGTAATATCATAATAGACACTACAGAAATACAGAGGGTAATTAGAAATTATTTTGAAAACTTATGCACCAATAAAATAGAAGATATTGAAGGCATCGATAAGTTTCTTAAGTCATGCAACTTGCCCAGATTGAATTAGGGTGATATATACAATTTAAACAGAAAAAAATCATGTGATGAAATAGAAGATGCCATCAGAAGCCTACCAACAAAGAAAAGCCCAGAAACGGATGGATACACAGCAGAGTTCTACAAGACCTTTAAAGAAAAACTAATACCAATACTCTTCAATTTATTTCAGGAAATAGAAAAAGAGGCAGTGCTTCCAATATCACCATGATTACAAAACAAGGCAGACACATCAAAGAAAGAAAACTTTAGAACAATATCTCTAATGAATAGATGCAAAAATTCTCAATAAAATTCTGGCAAATCAAATACAAAAACATGTCAAAAAGATAGTGCATCATGATCAAGTGGGATTCATCCCAGGGATGCAAGGTTGGTTCAACATAAGGAAATCAATAAACGTAATTCATCACATCAATAGACTTAAAGATAAGAATCATATGATCATCCCAATAGATGCAGAAAGAGCATTTGACAAAATACAGTACCCCTTCATGTTCAAAACACTAGAAAAACTAGGGATAACAGGAACATATCTCAACACTGTAAACGCTATCTATGCGAAGCCCCAGGCCAACATCATTCATAATGGAGAAAAATTGAAAGCATTCCCTATAAAAACTAGAACAAGACAGGAATGCCCTCTTTCACCACTTCTATTTAACATAGTTCTTGAAACATTGGCCAGAGCAATTAGACAGATGAAAGAGATTAAAGTATACACATAGAAAAAGAAGAACTGAAATTAGCACTATTTGCTGATGATATGATTCTATACCTAGAAGACCCCCCAAAAATTCCACCAGCAAACTTCTAGAACTAGTAAATGAACTCAATGAATTCAGCAAAGTAGCAGGATATAAAATCAACACCATAAATCAAAGGCATTTCTGTGTATCAGTGACAAATCCTCTGAAAGGGAAATGAGGAAAACTGTCCCATTTACAATAGCCTTAAAAAAAATAAAATACTTGGGAATCAACTTAATGAAAGAGTTGAAAGATCTATACAATGAAAACTAAAGAACCCCAAAATAAGAAATTAAAAAAGACCTTAAAAGATGGAAAGATCTACCTTGCTCTTGGATAGGACAAATTATTATCAAAATGACCATACTACCAAAAGCACTGTACAGATTTAATGCATTTTCAATCAAAACCCTATGGCATTCCTCACATAAATAAAAAAAGCAGTCATGAAATTCATCTGGAAAAATAAGAGACCCAGAATAGCTAAAACAATCCTTAGCAGGAAGAGTGAAGCAGGTGGCATCACTATACCAGACCTCAAACTATACTACAGAGCAATAGTAACAAAAACAGCATTGTATTGGCACCAAAACAGACTGGTAGACCAACGGTACAGAATAAAGGACACAGAGACTAACCCACAAAATTACAATTATCTTATATTGGACAAAGGAGCCAAAAACATGCACTGGAGAAAAGATAGCCTCTTCAACAAATGATGCTGGGAAAACTGGAAATTTATATGCAACAAAATGAAATTAAACCCTATCTCTCACCATGCACAAAACTCAACTCAAAGTGTATCAAGAATGTAGGAATTAAACCGGAGACTCTCTGTCTAATAGAAGAAAAAGTAGGCCCTAATCTTCATCATGTGGGTTTGGGCCCCAACTTCCTTAATAAGACTCCTATAGCACAAGAACTAAAACCAAGAATCAATAAATGGGATGGACTCAAACTAAGAAGTTTTTTCTCAGCAAAAGAAACAATCTGTGAGGTGAACAGAGAGCCCACATCCTGGGAGCAAATTTATACCCCTCACACATCAGATAGATCAGATAGAGCACTAATCTCTAGGGTATATAAAGAACTCAAAAAGCTAAGCACCAAAAAAAAATAACCCAATCAATAAATGGGCCAAGGACCTGAACAAATACTTCTCAGAAGAGGATACACAATCAATCAACAAATATATGAAAAAATGCTCATCGTCTCTAGCAATCAAAGAAATGCAAATCAAAACTACTCTAAGATATCATCTCGATACAGTCAGAATGGCAGCTATTATGAAAACAAACAACAATAGTGTTGGCAAGCATGTGGACGAAAAGGCATACTCATACATTGCTGGTGGGACTGCAAATTGGTGCTGCCAAAATGGAAAGCAGTATGGAGATTCCTTGGAAAACTTGGAATGGAACCATCATTTGACCCAGCTATCCCTCTCCTTGGTCTATACACAAAGGACTTAAAAACAGCATACCAAAGGGACACAGCCACATCAATGTTTATAGCAGCACAATTCACAATAGCTAAACTGTGGAACCAACCTAGATACCCTTCAGTAGATGAATGGATTAAAAAATGTTGCATATATACACAATGGAATATTACTCAGCAATAAAAGTGAATAAAATCATGGCATTTTCAGGTAAATGGATGGAGTTGGAGAAGATAATTCTAAGGGAAGTTAGCCAATCCCCCCCCCCAAAAAAAAACAAATGGTGAATGTTTTCTCTGATATAAGGAGGCTAACTCATAGTGGGGTAGGGAGAGGGACCATGGGAGGAATAGATGAATTCTAGATAGGGCAGAAGGGAGACAGGGAAAAGGAGGGGGCAGGGATTTAGCAATGATGGTGGAATGTGATGGACATCATTATGCAAAGTACATGTATGAAGACATGTGTGTGAGAGAGAGAGAGAGAGAAACAAGCAGAATTCACAGATCCAAGATCAGCAGGGTGACTTAACAAGGTCTCCAGAGATTCAGGAGAGTATCTGGTGTAATTCCAGTCTGAAAACCAGCAGACTTGAGACCAGGAAGAACCAACCTTTCAGTTTCAATGTAAAAGCAGGAAAAAGCTGATGTTCTGTTTTAAAGTCAATCAGATAGAAAGAATTCCCTCGGGAGATGGTCAACCTTTTAGTTTTATTCAGGTCTTCAGCCCACTCTTATTATGGAGAGTAGTATTCTTTATTCATTCTACCTTATTAAAGATCAACCTCATCAGCATTCTGTAATCCAATCAAGTTAACACATGAAATTAACAATCACACTTACCTGAAGTGGTCTTTGAGTTAACTACTTTGTCTGCCATATACCGTTTCTGTTATGGGGAAAAAATTGTTACATGTAAAGTTCAAAATGAAAAATGCAACTCATAGTAGAAGACACAGTAGTTTTAAGAAAGAATAAAGGCAGCTAACCTAATTGTAAAATCTTCTTTGGCTGTAATTGATTTCAATTTCATTTTGCCCTTTCATGATTCCCTAAGCTGTGATGTGGCCAACGGAAAGGAGTATAGCAAAGTGGTTAAGTATGTGGACAACCCATATCTGCCTGTCGCTGATGCAGCAGAACCTGTATGTGCCTCAAGTGAGTACCCTCCCACACACACATACACACACAACACAAACACACAGACATATTCCTCCATGTACCTTGTAAAAGTAAGTACTGCTAGGAATGCTAGCACATTAATATATAGCTTATAATGACTATATTGGGTTAAACATGTAATTTACAATGCTGGATTGTTCTCTCTCTCTCTCTCTCTCTCTCTCTCTCTCTCTCTCTCTCTCTCTCTCTCTCTCTCTCTCTTTTGACCCAACTTAACCTAGGCCTTCTGATTATTCTTTATATCAAACACCAAGCAAAAGAACCAAAGGACAGATTTTGCTGATGGCATATCTTCATAGGAGGATAGGAATCAGGCAGAGGCATGTGAATAATAATGGCCAGTAATTTGGGGAAACAAGCATTAGGATTGTAAGAGTAAAAGAAGGAGACCAGTCAGAGTAAAAGAGCAAGCAGAAAAAACAATATTAAACAATCTACTGTGACAAAGCTAAAGGAGAAATGAAGACTCCGCACAATTCATGCACACATCTCTTTTAGCTGTGTAAGACTTTTGCCTTCAATGGGATTATATCTCCAAAGATACTGTCATAATTCTTCTCATGACAACTCCTAGGTGCTATTAGTTCCTCAAAGGCACAACCAAAAAGTTTATTATCTTAAATTTAAACCCTCAAAATCTTAGTTTACTCTTCACACCAACTGTAGATTTCAAAGAATCACATCAGTTCCAACCAACTGTCTGGAAAGAAGAAGAGAAAGAGGAGAAAGAAGGAAAAGGAGGATGAGGAAGAAGAAATAAAGGGGAAGAGGAGAGGAGGAAGAAGAGGAGGGGGAGGGGAAGAGGAGGAGGAGGAAAAAAGAATTGGAGCAGCAAAGAATACCTTAAGAGTCAGGGCAGAGTTTTGAGAGCATTTCATCATCTAACAGAGAACTTACATAATCTTCTACAACCTCTTTGATGCCTGAAATTGCAAGAATAACCAGCAAAGGCAAAAGAGTTGTATATTGTCCTATTGGAGAAACACCTGGAATTTGCTGCAAAACAATCAGAATAACATGATTAATTTGATAAATGCTTTCTATATCTTGACCAGTCACATGACCCAGGACATAAATACAGTAGACAAATTTTATAGTTTGGATCCTTCTTCCCCTTCCCCTTTCTTATTCTCCTCCTCCCTCCCCCTCCTCCTCCTCCTCCTCCTCCTCCTCCTCCTCCTCCTCCTCCTCTCTTCTCCTCTCCCCTTTTCTTTTTTCTTTTCTCTTCTTTCTCTCCTCCTCTCTCCTCCATCCTCTCTCCTCCCTCTCTGCTCTCTCCTCTCTCCTCTCCTCTCTCCTCTCTCCTGTCTCTCACTCCCTCCTTCCTTCTTGGCATCCATAAGGTGACCAGCCTTCTCAACCACATGCTCCCACTACAATGATGTTCTGCTTTATCTCAGGTCAAAAGCAAGGGAGCCAGCCAAACTTATACTGAAACCTCTGAAATCATGATACAAAATAAATCTTTCTTCCTTTAAGTTGATTTTCTCAGGTATTTTTTGTCACCATGGCAGAAAACTAACACATCATGTTAAATAAAAGGGGAAGGAAGAAAACTCATACCATATCAAAACTATCCCTTGAGTGTAACACTATTACCCTGTGGAGTCTTCAGAGCAACTGATCAACATCTCAGTCAGTATGTCACTTTCTTCATAGGATAATCCTATGTTTCCAAAGAAATAATTCAAAACCTAAATGTTACCTTAAAATAGCATTTTTCAAAACAGAATCAGATGGTTTGGCTACTTTAACTGAACATTATTTCTGAAGCAGAGGAGAAAAATTTTGGAGGCATGGGAGAGTGATGCTACCTACATACAAATCAATTGCTGTCTGTGCTCCAGGGCTACCCCCACTATTTAAACAATGATAAATAAAGCAATGAAAACTGAGGGTGTGGTGGTTTCCCAAAGGATGCAGGTAAAGTACTGGGTATGACCCCTTAGCATTCTAGATTTCGACAAGTTCTTAGGCCTGTATATCCAGGCTTGGGTCTATGTGTGATCCCTCTTATGCCTTATTATTTCTTTCTTGCTTATCATTTCTTTGACATTTAGCAATACAGAATCTATTTTGAACTCCTGAAAGTTCTTATAACAACTTTAAAAGGAATTTGTTTTGGTTTGGATCTGGGGTGCTCCCCAGAAAATGCATGTGTTAAAAACATGATCCCCAATACAGCAAAGTTCAGAAGCAAGGATTTTAGGCAATGATTAGAGTTCTGATCTTATCAGTGCACTAATCCACTTTTCTGGATTAATCCAGTGGTAGCTGAGTGGACTACTGAGTGGTAACTATAGGCAGGGAGAACATAACTGGAGGAAGTAGGTCACTTAGGGTTTGGCCTTGGACTATGTCTATTCCTGCCATGTATGTGTCTCTCTTTTTCTCTCCACCCCTCCTTCTCTCTCTCTCTCTCTCCCTCCTTCTTTCCAGGCTGCCATGAGCTGAGCAGCTTTTCTCTGCCATGTCTTTGCACCATGATTTTCCACCTCACCTCAGACCCAGAACAAGAGAGTCAACTGACCATGGACTAAAACCTCTGAAACCATGAACACAAAATAAACTTTTCCTTGCCTAAGTTGTTCTTGTCAGGTAATTTGGTCACAGAGATGAAAAGTTGACTAATAAAGTTTGAGCAATAGATGAAGAAAAGAAAGAAACTTTGGATTGCTTGAGGTCTGAGTTAATTTTGCCTTTGCAATATTTCTCGAATCTCTCCCTCTTCTGAGATTCAGCTCCAAGTGGGGCATTTTGCCTAAGACTCCACCCTGTCTTGCTCCCTTAACCTTTTGATAACTTGGCCTTGGCTAATGTTTTTAGTGTCTTTTCTACTTCATCAATCCTATGTACCAAAAATCAAATTTTTATTTTTTCTGGAATATTCTATACACTCAGGAAAAATTTAACACTTTCAATTTGTATTTTATTTAATTTTAACAGATAACACATTTACATGTTTTACAATTCAAAACAAAATTCTTCACAGTGAAAATTCTACTCTTCTCCTTGTCTCTTTGCTTCCTATCACTGTGGTTTGAATGTGTGTCACCTAAATGTTCATATGTGAAGGCTTCGTCCTCAGAATGGCAGAATTGGGAGATGCTTTAAAAGGTGATGTCAAGTGGGAGGTCCTTAAATCATTAAAGCTTGCCTTAAAAGGTATTATGGGACCGCCTTCATATTCATTCTTTCTCTCTCTCTCTCTCTCTCTCTCTCTCTCTCTCTCTCTCTCTCTTTCCTCCAGTTTGATATGTTGCCACTCTCTCTGATGTTCACTCCCTCCATTGCTATCCATTACCCTCAGCAGAAGCCAAACCAACAGGGCTCACCTTGAACTTTGAACCTCCAAACTGTGAGCTAAGTAAACAGTTTCTCTCTTTTTTTAAATTTGTTTTTATTAGTTACACATGACAGTACAATGATCTTGACATATCATACATTTGAATCAGATGGGATATAATTTCTCATTTTTCTGAGTGTATAGGTTGCAGAATTACATTGGTCATGCAGTCATGTATATACCTACAGCAATAATAATGCCTATTTTCTAAAGTCAGTTGCTTCAGATACTTCACTGTAGTAATGCAAAGTTGACTAATACAGTGATTTTCCTCCTGAAATGCAACCAATGCTTCCAGGTTTTTTGTGTTTTGCTATGTCCTGTGCCCAAAGGCTACAGACTTAACATCAGATTCCTCCTCCTCTAACACTAGGGGTCAAAGTCTGGAAATAGAAAAAAAAAAACCAGAAAATTATGAAGAGATTATTTTGATTGCGGGCTTCATAAGTAAACAGGAATGAACCAGATTATGGAAAACTTTGAATTTAACTCTTTTGAACAGATGCTATTTAAAATTATTGTTTTGTTTTCCTTTCAGTTGTTCCTTTCAAAATATGATAAAATGATTCTATTATAAAGGAGGCATACATGACGAAAGTTGCATCCATGTGTTTTTCAGCCCAAAAATTGAGTTTCAGTGTCTCACTGAATGACTTAAACATTGTAAGATTCTCTTCTTACAGTATTTCAATTTATTGTCTATGGAAACCTTTATTTCAGCTAAATGAGCTTTTACAAGGGTTTTCTTAGATCTCTTAAGAATCTTAGTTTAATAACATGTACAAAAATATTACCTGCAATATGGTAATGAACAAAAAAAATGCATTAGCAGCTTTGCTAAACTGCAGATACAAATATCGAGGGAGAAATGACCACTTGCTGTACTTAGTTGTGCTGTAGGTGAAAAGAAAAAAAAATGACATTATCAGCAGATATTCTAAACTCCGAAAACATTAGTGGAAAACTGAAAAATTGCTTATAAATCAAAAGTGTGTTAAACCCAAAATATGTGTATAAAACACTGGCCTTTTTCTAAAGGTATTTTGCCTTTCATTTAATGCTATTGTAATTTTTATACATTTATTTATTTTTATGTGGATTGAACAGAGGATTGAACAGAGTGCCACATACATACCAGGCAAGCACTCTACCACTGAGCTATAACCACAGTCCCTATTTTGCCTTTTTTGAGAGTATTCACGATTACCTGAAATAATCTCCGAATAAAGGAAGAATGATTTCCCCCATTTTAGGAACTAAGTGCCATTAATATAAGAAATATGGTAAACCAAGGATCAAAAACCAGGGAGTATCATTCTGTCTAAATACATTAAAAGTAAAAGATGAACAGCAACATGTTGATTTCACCGATTTACATCAATGATTCATTTATTAACTGTAAAATATTTATTGAGTAATTACTGTGTGTCAGATGCTATTCTGTTTCAGATACATCATGAAAAACATAAATATTCCTGCTCACCTTCTGATGGAACAAGACAAACAGTAACAAATAAACATGCTAAATAAGTTAGAAATAAATACATGCTAAAATGATATGCAAAACTTACTCCATGTATTGTGTATGTGTGTGTATAGGTGTGTATGTGTGTGTATAGGTGTGTATGTGTGTGTATGCGTGTATGTGTGTGTATGCGTGTGTATATGTGTGTGTGTGTGTGTGTGTGTATGTCTGAGTTCAATAAAACCTTTAATGTGTCTTGGGCAGAAGATGCTCTATATTTTCTAATGGCCTATAACACTATGACAAAACTCCTAATCAACCTCTATCTTGTAGGAGTAACGAGAGCCATCAGTTTTTCTCCATTCCTTCTCTAATATTTCATCATTAAAATATATCTAAATCCATTTGCACCAAATGTCTAGGAAATGTCATAGAGAAGATTGTGTATAATAAAAGAAAAGCATCACAAATTAGTTGGGGATAAAATGACTGGTCAGCCAACTGGAAAATTAGGATGGGTCTCTACCTCATTCCTTACACCAAAATAAAGTCCATCCAGATTAAAGATTTAAAGCTAACATAAAAAGAATTACCTAGGACTGGTGGGAGTAGGAGGGGAATACTTGGGGAAATGGGAAGTGGCCTATGTTCTGCGCCCTGGCCAAAACCTATTACTTCTCTTGTGATCCTGTATGGCATGTGGAGACCTCCTAAGACATGTGTATACAATAAACTGTTTCCTGAGTCTCTTTTATGCCTCCTCTTATGGCTGCATATGATTGATCATCTCATAAAATAATGCAGAACATTGATTGCATCAGGACAGAACTACTGTCAAAATAAGACCTATCCATTGAGGCATATTTTTCCTCAGAAAAGAGAATACTTCTTCCTAGGAAGAATTCTACTTCTCTCCAAAGTCCAACAGCGTATACTATATTTACCTTAAAAAATAAATTCACTATTTTGGTAGAACCAAATATTAATTTGAGACAAAATTAAACAAAATAAGATTAAAGCCCATAGAAGTTGTAATACAAACCAACAAAAACATTTTTGGAAATGAAGAGCTATGAGACCCTCCTCTCTGACCTGCATGGGAGCTCGGGCCTAGGGTAGGCCTGAGCTCACCCCGCCACTGGAAGACACCCGCTGGAGCTCAGGCTTGGCCCAGGACCATCTCACTGACCTGCCAGGAATCCAGGGCCCAGGGTAGGCCTGGGTCCGCCCCACACATACCACCACCTGGGAGCCCAGGTCTAACCCACTTTCATCTTGAGACACTGCAGCCATCCCCATATAGTAGCCTCTACCTTGGGATAAAAACAGGGCCTAGAAGCAGCTGCATCTTGGAGAAGGCATCCCAAATCCAGTAAGACCCACCCTTTCAGCCCCATCTCTGAAAGATGTTGCATCCATCTTGTGGCACTTCCACTGCCACCTCCAGTTACCTCCTGCTATTGCTCCCACCACCTATAGTTGCAGTAACATCCTTCCTGGGACATGGGCAGGGTCTAGAAGCTGAACAACAAGGTAAGGTACAGATAATCTGCACAGATACTACAAGATTATAGGGTAGAAACTGTAATACCTCATATCCACACTTCAAGAAAGGAAATCACATAGACAACATGATAAAACAAGGGAGGAATATATATATCATAGTTTACAAACCAGTATACTACAATAACAGAACCCATGGATAGAGAAGTTGATGAAATGTCAGAGAAAGAGTTCAGAAGGTTCATAATTAAAATGTATGTGAATTAAAGAATGACCTAAATGAGCAACTACAGGCAAAAATTGATCAGTCCAACAAAGAGATAAGAGAGCAAATACAGGCAACCATTGCTGACACAAATAAACAAATAAGGGAGCAAATACAGGCATCCATTGATCATACCAACAAAGAGCTAAAGGAGCAAATACAGGTAGCAAAAGATTACTGCAAGAAAGAGAGATTCTAAAAAAAAAAATCAGAAATCCTTGAAATGAAGGAAACAATAAACCAAATTTAAAACTCAATAGAATGCTCACCAACAGACTAGATCACTTGGAAGACAGAACATCAGATAATGAAAACAAAGTATACAATCTGGAAAATAAAGTTGACCACACAGTAAAGATGGTAAGAAACCATGAGCAGAACATCCAAGAATTATGGGATAGCATCAAAAGACAAAATCTAAGAGTTATTGGGATAGAGGAAGGCACAGAGCTTCAAACCAAAGGAATGCACAATCTCTTCATTGAGATAATATCAGAAAATTTCCCAAACATGAAGAATGAATTGGAAAATCAAATACAAGAGGCTTACAGGACACCAAATTTACAAAATTACAACAGATCTACACCAAGGTACATTATGCCTAACATACAGAATAAGGATAGAATCTTAAAGGCCACAAGAGAGAGGAATCAGATCACATATAGGGGGAGACCAGTTCGTATCTCAGCAGATTTTTCAACCCAGACCCTCAAAGCCAGGAGATCCTGGAACAACATATAACAAGCTGTGAAACAAAATGAATCCCAACCAAGAATCTTGTATCTAGCAAAATTAAGCTCTAGATTTGATGATGAAATAAAAACCTTCCATAATAAACAAAAGTTAAAAGAATTTCCAACTAGAAAGCCTGCACTAAGAACATCCTCAGCAAAATATTCCATGAAGTGGAATTGAAAAACAACGATAAAAATCAGCAAAGAGATTTTTACACTAAAGGGAAAACTAATCAGAGGGAAAACCAAGTCAAGTTGAATACTAAAAATAAACAATTCATGAAATATAAATCATGTCTCAATAATAACCCTGAATGTTAATGGCCTAAACTCACCAATCAAAAGACTGGAAGATTGGACTTTAAAAAAAAAAAAAAGACCCAACAATATGCTGCCTCCAAGAGACTCATCACATAGGAAAAGTCATCCACAGTCTGAAGGTGAAAGGTTGGGAAAAATCATACCACTCACATCAATTGCAGAAGCAAGCAGGGGTGTCCATCCTCATAAATAAAGTAGACTTCAAGCCAAAGTTAATCGAAAGGGATAAAGAAGGATATTTCACACTGCTTAAGGGAACCATTCATCAACAAGATATAACAATAATAAATATATATACTCCAAACAATGGAGCATCTACATTTATCAAACAAACTCTTCTCAAGTTCAAGAGTCAAATAGACAACAACAAATAATTTTGGGTGGCTTTAACACAACATTTTCACCACTGGATAGATCTTCCAAACAAAAGCTGAACAAAGAAACTATGGAACTCAATAATATAATCAATAACTTAGACTTAACTGACATATATAGACTATTTCATCCATCAATGAGAGAATTTGCTTTCTTCTCAGCAGCATATGGATCCTTCTCTAAAATAGATCATATATTATGCCACAAAGCAACTCTTAGCAAATATAAAAAAGTAGAGATACTACCCTGCATTCTATCAGATCATAATGGAATGATATTAGAAATCAATGATAAAATAAGAAATAAAAGCTACTCCAACAACTGGAGACTAAATAATATGCTACTGAATAAACAATGGGTTGCAAAAGACATCAAGGAGGAAATTTAAAAATTCTTAGAGGTGAATGAGGATGAGAACATAGAGACAACATATCAAAATCACTAGGACACTATGAAGGCAGTTCTAAGAGGAAAGTTCATTGCATGGAATTCATTCCTTAAAAGAAGAAAAAAGCCAACAAATAAATGATCTAAAATTACATCTCAAAGCCCTAGAAAAAGAAGAACAAATCAACACAAAAAAATAGTAGAAGACAGGAAATAATTAAAATCAGAGCTGAAATCAATGAAATTGAAACAAAAAAATGACAAAACAAAAAGTTGGTTCTTTAAAAAAAATAATAAAATTGACAAACCCCTAGCCATGCTAATGAACAAAAGGAGAGGGAAAACTCAAACTACTTACATATGTGATAAAAAAGGAAATATCACAACAGACATAACAGAAATACAGAAGATAATTAGAAATTATTTTGAAAACTTGTTTTACAATAAAATAGAAAATATCAAAGGCATCAACAGATTTCTGTAGTCATATGATTTACCCAAATTGAACAGGATGATAAACACAATTTAAACAGATCAATGCCAAGCAATGAAACAGAAGATGCCATAAGAAGTCTACCAACTAAGAAAAGCCCAGGACTGGATGAATACATAGCCAAGTTATACAAGACCTTTGAAGAAGAACTAATACCAATACTCTTCAATTTATTTCAGGAAACAGCAAAGGAGGCAGCACTTCCAAACTCATTCTATGAGACCAATATCACCCTGATTCCAAAACCAAAGACACATTTAAGAAAGAAAACTTCAGACCAATATCTCTAATGAATATAGATGTAAAAATTCTCGATAAATTTCTGGCAAGTTTCATACAAAAACACATTAA